TAGGCCCTAACTTAGGTATCGAGCGGGTTTTCCCCTAGGAGCAATGTCGAGTGAGTTGAGAGGGAAATTGGTGAAAAGGTGGTTTCACTATAGGTTCAGGGGTACATATAGCATAGAAACAAAATAAGGTGCACCACCAACAAAAGTTTACATAACTACACTAACTACAACTACAAGCAATTATAAAACATGACAAAATATTTCGACACGCCCCCATAATGCTTGTAGGTAGGTATGTAGTTACAGCAACAGCAGGTACCCCTACCATCTCCTCACCCTCCTCCTTCCCCTCCCCCACACTGCTGCAGAAGCAGCAGAGAAAGGGGGAAGAGAGGAGAGGTGGAGGGACGGCTGCTTGTTGCCTCACACCCGCCACCCCGGTACCACTCCCCCTCCTCACCCACATCCTCACACCCTCCTCCCCCAGCGGCAGCTGCAGCGGTGGGACTGAAAGAAGGAGGAGGGAAAGGGAGAGAGTTGACCCCACGCTCCAACACCCTCCACCCCCATACCCTCCTCCCCACGGCTGCAGGGAGACAAGAGAAAGGGGGGGGTGGGAAGGAAGAAAGCCGCAGAGCGGCGAAGAGGCGTCGGTGCAGATGGGTCAGGGGCGGCAGTAGGGAGTGCAGGGGCGGAAAGGCCCGTCGCGGGCCAGTGCCACGGGGCGCACGACGGGTAGCATAAAAGGGCCCGATCGTGTGCCTCGGGGCACACGACGAGCAGGGCACCATCGTGTGCCACGGGGCGCACGATGGGCAGTAGAAGGGCACCGTCGCGTGCCACGGGGCGCGCGACGGGCAGGGAAGGAGTCACACGCCCGTGGGCGGGACAAGGTAAAAATAAAACCGTCACGCGCCCTAGGCGCGCGACCGTAAAATCTTAGCAGCGGAAGTAAAGTGGGCCCACAGGCCAGGACGAACACTCGGCTCCGATAACATGTCGAATGTCTAAGTAAATTAAGAGTAGAAACGGGGGCCTAGGCTTAGTAGCCTAGGCCCTAACTTAGGTATCGAGCGGGTTTTCCCCTAGGAGCAATTTCGAGTGAGTTGAGAGGGAAATTGGTGAAAGGGTGGTTTCACTATAGGTTCAGGGGTACATATAGCATAGAAACAAAATAAGGTGCACCACCAACAAAAGTTTACATAACTACACTAACTACAACTACAAGCAATTATAAAACATGACAAAATATTTCGACATGGGTACCCGCGTACTCGCTACTGATGGAACTGTTACTGCAGGAGGCACACGACAGGATTACCTCGGAACATTTCGAGGTAGAAAAAACGCGATAGCAACTGCAGCGGTATTACTACTGGCCGGAGTTGTTGACCGACGTACAGCACCACGTGGGCTCATGTCCTACGTGTCAGGTGATAAAGAGCTCCCGAAAACGAAAGGCGGGTCAGTTGCAGCCGATTCCACCGCCTGAGCGCGCCTGGCAGCAGGTTACCATGGATTTCGTCACAGGGTTACCTTCGAACCCTGGGGTAAATGATGCAGTTATGGTCGTCGTTGACATGTTAACAAAGATGGCACACCTCGCTGCATGCAAGAAATCAATCTCAGCCGAAGAAACCGCTCGCCTGTTAATCGCAGCCGTCGTTCGACTGCACGGGATACCAACTGCGATACTTAGTGACCGCGACACGAAGTTCACGAGCAACTTCTGGAAAAACCTCTGGGAGCAGTTCGGGACCAGGCTACAATTCAGCACGTCGTACCACCCTGAGACCGACGGTCAAACGGAGCGGACGAATCCGACAATGGAGCAGTTGATTCGTGCCACGTGCGACAACCCGACCACTTGGGAGTAGCAGCTGCCGCTGATCGAGTTCGCGTACAACAACGCCACGTTAGCGACGACGCAGCAGTCCCCCTTCTACCTGAACTACGAGCAAACCCTTTTAGTGCCCATGACGCCGAGTCCGGACAACCCAACACCACGCGCACAGCAATTCGCCGAAGTTCTGCAAGCTGCCCGCACCAGAGCCGCACAAGCAATTAAAAAAGCCAATGTCATCGCTAAGCGCAACGCTGACTGCCACCGCCGCCCGGTCACGTACCAGTCAGGAGACTACGTACTACTCGACACACAAAACTTAAGACTGCCCGTCGTACCGAAATTGCGACCCCGCTACTGTGGACCATTCCAAATCAGCCACATGATTAGCCCAGTGACAGCCCACCTACTGTTGCCGACGGACTGGTACATCAGCCCTTCATTCCACGTCAGCCTGCCTTGTTAGAACTAGCAGTAGAAAGTAAGAATGAAGAAAGGAGGGGGATTCACTAGCAAGCAGTTGGATACAAATAGCAAACCCTAACTGGGTTGTACTTGCTATAGAGCACCCCACTGCAGGCTAGATAATATAACATTCTGACACACCCCCATAGCCAAAGTGGGGTGTAATCAGCACAACAAGCAAGCATAGTAATAGTTCACAATTATAAGCAAAGCTAGAGGTAATCACAGAGGGCAAGTGAGGAGGAGGAGGGACGGTGCGAGGATAGAAGATGGGAGACGACGGCTGAAGTTGCAGACACACGGGCAACAGGAGCTGCTGGCACAGTGGCTACCGAGACAGCGCCCCGGACTACTGGAGTAACTGGCTCACGGGCTACGAGGAGCTACAGGAGCAACGGACCCACGGGCGACAGGCATAGCAGACTCTCTGGGCTACCAGGACAGTGCGCCCCGGACTACAGGTGCTGCGGACGACAAGACAGCAGCCTCCACTCAACCTCCCCCGACCGTCCCACACCCCCTGACACACACCCCTTGCTTCACCCCTAGCTCCACTCCCCCTTCACCCCCATACCACCACTCCTTCGGCTCCCCACACACACACACCCCTGAGCGGCAGCTGCAACAGCGAGAGACGGAGGAGGAGTAGGGGACGGCGCACACAACGGGCACCCCCATTACCGCCACCCCCACACTCCTCAGCCCAAAACCCTAAAACGGGTTGCAAGGGGCAGGAGCGCGGGGGGAAAGCGGGGGGGACGGCGCGCGGCCCCTAGGGCGCCACCACGGGGCAGCAGGGGGCCGCGCGTGGCTCCCCAGGGCGGCGCGACGGGGCAGCGGGGGGTCGCGCGTGACTTCCCTGGGCGCCGCGACGGACGGGCGGGGGCAGCGCGCGGCTCCCCAGGGTGCCGTGACGGACGGGCGGGGGCAGCGCGCGGCTCGCCAGGGGGCGCCAGGAAGCAGAAAGGGCCGCGCGCTCCCCGGGCGCGCGCCACACACGAAAACCGCCGCTCGCATCAGACGCGCGGTAGGAAGAAAGGGTAGCACGCTCGGGGCGCGCGACAGCAGTAGAGCAGCGGAAGCTTTAGGTTGTGGGCCCACCCACAGGATCGACCCAGGAGGGTCGACCTGCTCTGATAGCATGTTAGAACTAGCAGTAGAAAGTAAGAATGAAGAAAGGAGGGGGATTCACTAGCAAGCAGTTGGATACAAATAGCAAACCCTAACTGGGTTGTACTCGCTATAGAGCACCCCACTGCAGGCTAGATAATATAACATTCTGAGATGCCTCGCCCATATGTCCCAACCACAAGCCAACTGCCGCATCACCGCCCACCATCCATGACTCGCCCTGCATCGGAGCCGATCATCGAACCCAAAAAAATCCTGAGCCATCTGATTCGACACCCCACGGGAATCAAGAGGATTGAATTCCTCGTTCGTTGGAAGGATCGCATGCCAACTGAATAGCTGGGTGCCCCTGGCCAACATCGAAAACCACCCTGCCCTACAAGTGTACCTGAGGAGCCGGGGTTTCCGCGATATAGACGCACTCGCGTAGCGGAGGGGGCGTCTTGAGGGGGGGGGGGTAGTGTAAGGATTTTTCTCGATATTCCTTAGCGCACCCTGCAACACGGCGTACAACAGCAGCCGTTGTTTGCCCGTTAGTGCTAACGGGGCTTCGCCGACTTCGCGCACACTGTTTTCCCAAACCTCGCACTGCTGGACCGGCCTTGTCGGCCTACGCTTCGGGACTAGCCCGAGCCTCGCTTCCAGCGTAGCACTAGCTAGCTCGCGCGCACCACGTTACCGTTTGCATGTTTCGCGTATAAATGTTCGCTCATGCCTTCGCTCACATTTTGTACTCGTTTGACACCTTAGTGCAATTCTCGCTACGATTCATTGCACCCGTAACAGATGGTGATGAACGAGTGGGAAACGTCCACTTCCCCCCAAACCCTACATTATCGTGTAACTTGACAAGCACCACACTGTGAAACATAAACAAACCCAGCTCAAGCTCATGTGCATGAATTGGTGGTGTTGCTGTTTGTGGGTGCACGCACACACCTTGCTAAGTAGGATAGATACGCAACAGGTTCCCTCCTTCCCTCCCTCCCTAGTCTTTCACCTCCACTCCATTTAAGGTTCGTGGCTCGTTCACCACCTCCTCCAAGGTTCCTACAGTCGATGCCCAACCCCTGCACGCGAAATTGCCCTGCACCCATCAGAAACTCTGCACCCGTGGCATCTTTGCCGCGATGTTGCACCCTGGGTACAGACCCCTGCCGCCACTTGTTCTCGTTCATGAATGCGCCCAAAAGAGAACCTGCATCACAAAACAGACCCTGCCAACCCAACTCAACCAGGGTCTTGGGCGAGAAACAGGCAGTGCGAAAGCTATGGACGAGCTTCGCACAACGTCGAACACCAGAACAAAATGAACTGGCTGCCACGTCTGAAGGGTTATGGTGCCCTTAACAGAGTTTGGCCGAATTCCCACCGCCACTTGGTACTTGCACCAGCTCGTTACAGGCCCACTGACCGCCTCACGTTGCGCACCCCAACACGTCACGCTCCTCTGTACGTGTTCACATTGAAGCACAATTCCCTGGAGACCATCCACCTTAATCTGCACACATTTCGTCTGAGTAAAAAACCCACACTCTACACACTAACGAATCACAACACCATAAAGAGTGATCGGAAAATCAGTTCCAATCACTCTTCCACCCCAACACCGAGGCTCGAAATGGCTCGTCTTTACCACCGAGCTCAGTTGCCCCTGCATATCAAGCGCGCCATATGCGCGCACCACGTCGAACACCCCCAGCTGCGCCACGTTGACCTCGCACGATGGTGCTTCACTCGTTTCGGAATCCGCCCCGACCGCTCAACCATCGGGCGCGTCCTGAAAAGTGCTAACCGCTGGGCTATCGATGACACCAATGACAACGCCGTGCGTGTGCACGGCGGTGCATATCCGGAGCTTGAGCGTGCCATGGCACGGTGGATAGCCAGGCCGGGGCCAGCTGGGGTGCCTCTCACCCTTGCGACTATTCGGGACCATGTCGCCTACATGGCCCGCGAGAACGGTCTGCCGGCTACGTTTCGTTGCTCCATCGGCTGGGTGCGTTGCGCATTATGCCGCCAGGGCGTGAGATGCTTGAGCGCGGTTGGCGAGGCGGCCGACCAAGACATGACGGCCGTGCGCACCACGCAGGAGAAGCTGCCGCAGCTCCTTATGCATTTGAACGTGAGGCCACGCGACACCTTCAATTTTGATGAGACGGCCCTCTACATTTCCGTTCTGCCGCGGAAGACCTACGGCACGGGCCGTATTGCGGGCAGGAAGAATGGCAAAGAGATGCTCACCATCGGCTTCCTCGTCAACGCCGACGGCTCTACCTTGTTCCGCCCTCTCGTGATCTCCAAGGCCCGGCGCCCGCACGACTTCCGCCCCGACTACGACCCGGAGGAGTTGTGCTACTGGCGCAACACCACCAAGGGGTGGATGACTACCGCGGTAATTTCCGTCGTGGAGGCTGCTAGTGTTGAAAGCCGCATTCACACCCTGCCCAAGTTATACACTCTCACTGAATCTTTATGTCACACTCATTACTGTTCACCATCACCCACCTTCCCCCCCGCAGCTCTTCACGCACTACATCGAGCAGCTGGATGCGGCTATGTTTGCGGAGGGGCGGCAGATCGTGATACTGCTCGACAATGCCAGCAGACACACGCTCACGACCCGGGGTGCCATCACCGAGGACCTCTTCGGCTTCCGCACCCGCAAGCTCGAAAATGTGCGACTCGTCTACCTGCCGCCTAACACTACTTGCTTCACCCAGCCCCTTGACCAGGGCCTGATTGCAATGGCGAAGGCGCGTTATCGCGCACATTGGCTGCGGAAGTTCACTGGCATGTGGGCTGCCGAAGGCGCCACCTCCGCAGCGGCTCGTTTCAGGCCGAACCTCCGATACGTGATCGCGTGGCTGAGCGATGCCTGGATGAATATCCCGCCGCGCACCATCCAGAGGTGCTGGTGGTGCACGGGATGCCTCCCGCGCGCCTGGGCCATGGAGTTGGCGCACGTGGGGGTGGGCGCTATCCGCGAACCTGGCACCGTGGCCGACACCGGCCTTGTTGAGGAGGTCAACGACGTCGGCCTCCTCATCGACCGGCTTTGCCTCGGATCCAGCGCGATGGCGGCGCACGATTTCGTCAGTTTCGACGACAACCAGCCCACTTGCGCGGAGCCGGGTGATGATCCGCTCGCAGCGGAGCCGGTGCCGGCCCCTTCGCATGATACGTGGGCGCCTCCCTCGACCATGCAAGAGGTTTACGATGACGCCGACCCTGCGTCCCGCGAATCGAGGCGCACTGCTCGCGCGGCATGCGAGATGCTCATTGGTTACGCCAAGGCGACCTGCACCACCCCGCGGGACTTGTGCGCCATCTTCGACATTCGCAACCCGATCATTCGGGCGCGGATGGAGCGCGCCAGCCCGCCGCTGAACCTCAACGCGACCCCGCCCCCCGCCATGACGACTGCCTCCACCCCGGAGGCAGAGACCCCCCGTCCCCGTGGTAGGGTTCTCCCGGCGTGGATGACGGTGCCTACGGCTGACTGGGTGGCACAGACTGCTCGCCGCCAGGAGCTCATCGAGGCGGGTTTCCCGGCCGTCATGAGCGGCTACGTCGCCGCCGCAGAATGGATGCGGATGTGAGGCAATTTGTGCCTCTCGCGAGGTGGTGAGAGACTGGCTCCTCCCCTCTTTGTGCACGACTTGTGCACAATTTGACGTTGTGAATGTGTTCTCACGTGATGTCAGGCAGGTGCACAGGTGGGGTGTTGTGATTGGCAGGGTATTTGGATGTACTTGTTTGTGACAAGGGGAGTTGGGAAATGTAATCGGGTCTGATAGTGAATGCGCGAAAAATGGGTAACCGTGTGATTACACAAACAGCAAAGGTTGCAAACCGGCACTGTTGGGCTAAAAACAAACCTGTTACAACCCGAGTTGTGTATACGCACCCTTTACCCGTGGCGAAACTGTGCAAACCCGTCGAAGTGACGGAATCGTTTATAAGCCCGGGAGACCTGCCAAATTTGGGGGACTCTAGCGAGCATCAGCTGTACATGTACAGTCACATTACAGTAAAATTGTTCTGTTAGTCCTTTCTCTGGCTTGTGGTTGCCCTTTCACACGGTCGTCTTTCACTGGCTCATAGCACAAGAAATGTCGCAAGTCTCTCCTCTTTTGACGTTCATTCCTCAGTTTTCTGGGGTTTGCCAAGACTATGGCCTACTGAACAGTGTGAACCTACAGATTCTCAGAAGCTGGCGATTTCAGAACCGAACGAAATCTACTGAACAGTTTGACTGTGCTTCTGTCGTAACCAACCGCCTTGATTTATGACTCTACTAAACCGTGGCCCAGATATCATCTTCAACTTCAACTTCAGCGTACACGTGATGCCTATTTCAGTCCCCTTCCCCATCTTTCCCTGTGCTCCTCTCTCGAGCATGCGCTCCCCATGGGGAGAATGGGACTTTATTTGGGTAGCCTAGCGTGACTTGTCTGGGAAACTCGACTAACTTATTCGAGGTCAAGAATATCTTAGTTTTGTCGTGGGCTAGTAACGCGCGGGCCGTTGGCTGTGAATGTCGACCACTGGGCGTATGGAGTGGCAGTGGGCGGTTGAGTGAGCATTAGGGTGTATTATTATACTGTAGCTTGAAACTTCATAGTCCCAGGCAGTTTGTCTTGTGCGAGATTCCAATTTTTTCGTCCAATAAGGGTCCCGTTACACACACTCCATATTTGTCCTGCTACTGTTTCTAAGAAGTTGCACCCCGCCTTTAATCTGACAGACAATGCCATTGTCCGTTCTCCTCAACGCTCCACGTTCAACGGGATGGTATACCTCAGCCGACGAAAACCGCCGCCCAATTTCGCGGTTGCGATAGGACAACGAACCCCCTCGGGATTGACGAGCTCCTGACGACTTGCGAGTGGCAAACTGGGGCGACCTGGCAGTCCTCCGAGGCTCTGAACCCCTCGGGATTGTCGACTATCTGACGACCTCGGGTTTCGCTGAGAGAAACCCGAGAAGGATACCTCAGCGGACCCTGAACCACAGCTCGACACGTTGTGCGCCGAGCCGCGATTACTGCCACGTGGCTTAGTAGGGACGGCCGAGATCGACCCTGACAATCGGGAGGTGCCACGACGGCGCCGACGTGGCCCCGCTTCGCACCACCGGGTATATTTCGCTGCGCGCGAAACCTGGCGCGCCGACGAAAAAGGTAACCATCGTCCACGCGGCGAAAGACGACTGGGACCAAACAATGCATAGGCGAAGAGAGCCCCAAAGTCAGGGAATGTCGGCGTCGACCAAGCCTCCGGCCACGCGCCTACTCGCAGGTCGATGAGGCTTGCGCGGGAGAGCAGGACGCTACGGCATTTTGGGAGAGTGGAACTAGGTCATTGGCCTATTGCACGTGGCGCACGTGAATTCCACCGTGGCAAGGCACCGGCGGGAGTGCCGTTGAGCGCAGAGCGGCGTGACACTAGACATGCATCGATCGTGACACGTCATGCACGTGCAAAGCGGCGCTTGCAAAGAGGGCTGCGTGGAGCGCGGCAGGTGCGCAGTGGCTCGCAACCATACCCCTCCTTGACCACGCACAACGCTCTCATTCTGCCGGTTCAGCTTCGTGTTTCTCTCATGCTCCTGTGCGCCATCTAGCACTTCGTTTTCTTCACAGGACCCTCGCTATCTCTGCGGGTGTAGGTTACTCGACGGCCGAGTCGACCGAGCGGCGGCACAAAGGCGACGACCTGGAATAGACTGCCATAGGTCGGTGTTGGGGTCGACCATCGTCGACTTCGCCTTACTAGGTTCTAGGTCGTCATCTAGGAAAGTCGGCGACGATAGATCAGGGCAACGATAGCATCTCCCAACCTTACCGAGTCGGCGACGCATGGCCAGAGGAAGGGCTAGTGCCCAACAGCCACAACAACTTATCCCACCCCCCGTCGATTCGGTAGACGACGACATCAAAGCGCAACTGGAACGACTCGAGGTCGACGCTGAGTTAGAAGCATTTGAGAGGGAATTCGAGGAAGACAGCCGCAGGACGATTAGGGCGTACACCGCACCCGTGAATCAGTACCATCTCTGGTTTACCAATCTTTCCCTCTTCCACGGCCGGCGGTAGAGCATACGAGCGGTCATGGACGACGTCGACATGCCCGACGTTGGTACCCCAACCGACCACAGTCCGTCCTCTGCCCCCGTTGAGACGCTGAAGTTGCTTTACGTGTCAAAAGTTAGAAGAAGAAAGAGGGGGTTGAACTAGCTGAAATGGGGACACAAATAGCAAACCCTAGAAGGGTTGTACTCGCTATAGAGCACCCCACTACAGGCTAGAACATAAGAATAACATTCTGACACACCCCCATAGCCAAAGTGGGGTGTAATCAGCAGAGCAAGCAAAGCAGTACAAGCTCAGGGTGGATCACAATGTCACCACACATTCTGAGCACAAGTTCAAGAAGCAAGTTCAAGTGCACAATTATCAGCAAAGCTAGTGGTGGTCACAACGGGCAAGTGAGGAGGAGGAGTGAGAGCGAGAGGAGTTGGGAGGCGACGGCTGAAGCTGCAGACACACGGGCAACAGGAGGCACACTGGCACAGCGGCTACCGGGCGAAGCCCCCGGACTACTGGAGTAACTGGCCCCGCGGCTAAAGTAGCGGCAGACGAGCAACGGACCCACGGGCGGCTGGCACAGCTGGCTACGACTGGGCTACCGGGCGAAGCCCCCGGAATACAGGTGCTGCTGACGACACGACGGCAACCTCCATGCAGCTTCCCTAACTATCCAACTCCCCCAACACACACCCGCTGATACACCCCTAGCTCCACTCCCACGCACCCCCCTTAAACCTTAAACCCGAGTCTCCCACACAACCACCCCCCTCAGCGACAGCTGCAGCAGTGGGAGACGGAGGAGGAGGAGGAGCAAAGGGAGGAAGGCCCACCGAGCACCCCCATACCCGCCACCCAACAGCTCGCCCCTCCCGTCGTCCGTCGTGGCGACCTGAGGGGGCCGCTTGCGGCCCCCGAAGGAGCCGCGACGGGCGACGGGAAATGGCAGGGAGGGGAGAAAAGGGGGGAGGGGGGGGGGGGGGGGGGGGGGGGGGGGGGGGGGGGGGGGGGGGCCGATGCCGCGACGAGGGGCGGGGCCGCGACGGTCGGGGCCGCGACATAGGGCGGGGCCGCAAAGGTAGGGCGGGGCCGAGCCGGGCAGGCGCACGGGCGGCGACGGGCCGGGGCGGGGCCGCGACGTAGAGCGGGGCCGAGCCGGGCAGGCGCACGGGCGGCGACGGGCCGGGGCGGGGCCGCGACGTAGAGCGGGGCCGAGCCGGGCAGGCGCACGGGCGGCGACGGGCCGGGGCGGGGCCGCGACGTAGAGCGGGGCCGCGTCGAAGGGCGGGGCCGCGACGGTCGGGGCGGGGCCGCGACGTAGGGCAGAAGCCCGCCGCGCGCCTCGGGGCGCACAGCGGGCAAAGAACCGCCGCGCGCCTCGGGGCGCACGGCGGGCAGAAAACCGCCGCGCGCCTCGGGGCGCACGGCGGGAGGAAAAAAAAGTAGCAGCGGAAGCGAGGTGGGGACACACCCACAGGATCGATCCAAAGGGATCGACCTGCTCTGATAGCATGTCAAAAGTTAGAAGAAGAAAGAGGGGGTTGAACTAGCTGAAATGGGGACACAAATAGCAAACCCTAGAAGGGTTGTACTCGCTATAGAGCACCCCACTACAGGCTAGAACATAAGAATAACATTCTGACATTACGATCTTGACAAACTTACTCAGATTCCCGAAGGGGAGTACACCAAGGACATACCGAATCCGCCAATTGGGGAGTTTACGAAGAAGTCGACAACGACGGCAGATGGGCAGACTGGACCTTCGTCGGTGCCCGCCGGCTCGGAAAACCAAGGTGATAACGACGAGGAGGACGAGGAAGAGAGCGACGACGAAGTCGACGAACGTCCTCCGCGTAGCACGAATCCGCGCACCTTGGAAGAACGCCTTAGGCGGGAATTTGAATACATACGTGACATGCTCGACGCGGACGAGAAGGAGGACGATCAGCACATGGCGGTGCCGCGCGAAGGGTGGAAGGCGACGGACTTTGTAGTGGACGACATGGTGTACTCCAGCATTGACGTGCTCATAATGGACGCCCTACGACACCTACAATGCTTGGAGAAGAATAGCACGCTCAGGCTGTACACCGCGTTCATCTACCACTACAAGAAGTGGGCGGCGAAGATGCTGAAGCAGCTACGCGACAAGCTACCCCATGAGCAACGACTTAGGCACGTCGACGAGATCGGCCACTACATCCGCGACAACAAGAAAGAGGATTGGTGCAACGAGAAAGTGGTCCGCCGACAGTACATTTGGCTGCACGGCCCTAGGGTCACCGAAACCCGGCTGCGCGCCTACGTGAAGCAAATGAGCCGTGAGTGTAACCTCATTGTTGACCAGCCCGGGGAGGAGAACAATGCCACGCGAACGGGGCCTGTGAGGTCGACAACTGTGCACACGATCCTCGGCCGGATAAAGGCATGCCAGATGGCGGCGAGGGTGGAGGCGACGCTGTACCGAGAGAAGGAGCTGGGCCTCATGAGGGAGATCTCGGTGGTGAG